CCGAAAAAGTAGCATTATTGGCCCGCGCGCGCCTATATGTTTCGACGAAGCCACAAGTGTCAAAGTGAAGTGAAAATATTTGTGAGCCAAGCGGCTGCACGGTTTCCATGGTAACGTGACGTCAGCCTAGCGGCAGCATGTAAATCCCCCGCCCCGATATTTTTTATCGGCGACCGATGTGACTGAGTTTTTGGGCAATTCGCTACGTCTTCCTTTACGCTAATATTCGGCTACTTCGCCGAGTAATTAACCGTCATGTAAAGACTGTAAATAAGTTGTTGTTGATTATTTATTGTTGTTTGTTAATGGTTTTTGTTGGTTTAACTTGTTAATTTTCTTCACAAAGAACTTTTAAATGAACTTATGAGTGAAAATCCGTTTTATGACGATATTACTGATAAGTTTGCATTAATGAAGAACAACAGAATTGAGCTGATTTACAAAAATTAGTAAGGTTAGTAATATAAATAAGTCAAATTTATTTTGGTTAATATTGCTTAGATATATAGTAAACAATGTAATAATTGAATAATAATTGAATGGCTCCTCGGTTGTAACCAACAATTTTTTCAATATCGAAATTTTAGTGAAAAAAAAGAGGAAAACACGTTATATGTATGAAAATTACAACCTTATTTCACTGAAATCTCCAGTTTGAAACAAATGTCGGTTACAACGTTTTTCGGGGAAGCCATTCAATAATTACAGTGTCCGCCATAAAGTTGGATCCATACCTATGGACGTTTTTTTTTTGGTATTAGAGTTTATAAAAAAACTTTTAGTGGAAATCAATTCTGCTTTAAAAACAACTTAAAATGTACCAAGTCAAAGTTGAAACATAATAATAATAATTTAACCAATTTTTAAAAATTTCTTTTAAATATTTTGTATTTTTTGACAGCTCCCAGATGTTACCTGTCAACTTTGACGTGCATTTTAAGTTGTTTTCAAAGCAGAAATGATTGCCACAAAAAGATTTTTTAAAACTCTAATATAAAAAAAATGTCCATATTGATCCAAGTTTATGGTGGACATTGTATATAACGTTTTTTATATTTAATTTAAATTTAATTATATTTTCACTGGAATGCAAAATAATGTGTATATCGAAAACTGGTTGTATCTCTTTTTACTTAATGCGTTTTAGCCCAAACTAAAAGGAAAATATTATAGGTATTAGTGTATAAATAATAACAAAAAAAATGTTGACAAAATGGTGAATACACCAAAAATTTTTCAAATAATAATTTTAAAAATGTTGACAAAATGGTGAATCTGCCAAACAAATTTTCAAAATTTTTGCAATTTAAAAAAAAATCTTCACTTATTTTTATACCCACGAGCCGCCACTGATTAAAATATGTTTTAAACGTGTATGTTTTTATTAGGGTTGAGTATTTTACTTTACATCTTTTAATTTTTGTTAAATTAACAAAAGGTACATCGCAACCATCTAGATTTATCAAAAAGTAAATATCTACTGACGCAAAATCATAAAAATTAAAATATCTAGGAAAATCTTTGTCCGAGGGGTAGGCAACCTTAATAGTATTTTGAAGATGATTATTATGAATTCTCTATTGAATACTGGAATAATATACTGGGTGTTCCATTTAAAGTAAAGTAGTAACTTGCTTTTAGAAGTGACCCATCTTCAATAGTAATTTTGTCTCATCCTGTATAACTTCTCTGGTCAAATTTTAATTTGGTTTAACATACAGTTGTTAGTGTAATTAAATATCGGACTTTATAGGGTAAATTACAATTTAGGTAGGTACCTAGCCGTTATTAAAATTTGAAATATATTCTTTATTTTCACAAAATGTGATAAATGTCAAAAACCTTACATTTTAGGCATATGCTTCTTTAATGAAACTCACCTTGGTTTTTATTCTAGAATCCGAAAATTCATTAATATATAGGGTGTTCCATTAAAAAAACTCATCTTTGATGGGTAACTTTTTTTGTTGACACCCCTATAAACCTCTATATAATATTTTCATAAAATGCTTTCAATTAACCTACATGTCCTCCCAAAATTCAATTTCGATATAAATTACCGTTCTTTTTAGAGCCTCCGCGTTGTATGAGAGGCGCCACTCTGTATTGTAGATCGAAAAATACTGGAAATCAGTAAAAATTGTTATTCTCAACGTCTTGTAAATCGAATGATCTAGCGACCGGATATGATGATGGTAGTTTTTTAGAAAAAAAATAAGAGCGGTATCCGTCCGCAAGAACCTAAAAAAACGAGGTTTAATTCTTAATATTAATTTTTAACCATATTACGCTAACTGTAAAAATATGAAACTGTTTTTTTTAATTCCTCACTCAATTTTCGATGAAATGTTGACCTTGGGAATTTTTTTACACGGTACCGCACATCGAAAAAAAATAAAAATTGATTTTTTACTCAAAAATCGATTTTTTTTTCATGATCAAGACAATGTCACTACTGTGATTGACGAAGATAAGACAATTTTTGAGCAAAAAATCGATTTTTAATGTTTTCGATGTGCGGTACCGTTTAAAAAAATTTCCCAAGCTCTTAATTTCATCAAAAATTGAATGAGGAATTCAAAAAAATTAGTTTTATATTTTTACGGTTATCGTAACATTAAAATTAAGAATAAAGCCTCGTTTTTTTAGGTTCTGGAGGACGGATATAGCTTTTATTTTTTGTTTCAAAAAGCTACCATCATGCCCCAAAACATATCGGGTCGTTAATAGATCATTCGATTTACAAGACGCTGAGGACAACAATTTTTACTAATTTTTAGTATTTTTCGATTTATCTGAATATCTGATGAATTTATCTGAAACTTGCTGTATCGAAATATTTTATGGGTACAAATATTTCCTGAAATTATGAGCCCGATTCCTTTCTGGGGTCGATTCGGTATTCTTATTATCACAGGACCTTTAACGTTAACGGTGTAACGGTAACATGAAAATGAATACCTGTCCTAATGGCTCCCTCTGAATAGCTTATTACCAACTCAGGTATGGGGGTAAGGAGAAACATCTCTTAGGACTTTATTTAAAAAATGGGATTTTATTTGAAAAAGTGGTCACCAAAATGGGAAGAATAATGGTTCACTAAATTACCACAGTCAGTGAAGCTAACAAGCAATAAATAGCGAACTGAACTTTGCGGTTATAGAAACAGCGAAGTTTAGAAATCGCATATTTATGGCTCTATAATTATTTCCTGTTCTAAAAATGTCTTTCAAATGTGGCGCTTCTTTCAAATCTAGAATTTTTGCTACAGCAGCGCCATCTTAAGTCTTCCCTCTTTTATGATCACTTTACAATACAAGAAGGTACCGTATGATCTATGATCGTATAAAAACGGCGTCAGCAATGGCTATGAAATGAAGATCGCTGTTATTTTATATGTAAAACTAGCGTGTACCAGCGAATTAATCATTTGTAATGGTGATGATAAAGCAAAGCAAGAATTTCCATTAACATACAAACTGGATAAAATTTTCTCACATTTATGTCACCATTAGAAAAAACAATATGGCGACATTATTATATAACTTGGTAATATTTGAGGGGTAGTTTCATCTCGTTGGAATTTGACTTTCGAAAAATCCGTTTGCCAAAAATAAGCTTTTTACGTCAAGCAGTTTAAGCAGAATCGTGGTTAAGAAATTACCCAACTTTTGGAACACCCTGTATGACTTTTTAAAAAATTTCAAAATATGTAGAAAAACCAAATAAATTATGCTTGTCCAAGCGTTTTCCCGAAAGAGTAACCGTTTTTTAAATAACAAATATTGTAATATTTGAGGGGCGTTTTCACCCTCTTGGAATTTGAGATTCCCCTCCTCCTTATCGAACCTCTACACCCCACAGTCAATCCGTTTGCCAAAAATCAGCGTTAAACGTCAAGTAGTTTAAGCAGAATCGTGATTACTCAATGGTCATATTTTATGAAACACCCTGTATAAATTTATAAAAAATCTTAAAATATGTAAAACGACAAAATAAAATATACGTGTTTAAGAGTTTTTCCGAAAAACTCACCGGTTTTTAAATAAAAAATATTTTAATATTTGAGGGATAGTTTCACCCCCTTAGAATTCGAGTTTCAAAAAATCCCTTCTTATCGAACCTCTACACCCTAAAGTCAATCTGTTTTCCAAAAATCAGCTTTTTCGTCAAGCGCTTTAAGCAGGATCGTGATTAATCAATGACCAGATTTTTCGAAACACCCTGTATACATTTTTAAAAAATCTTAAAATATGTAAAAAAACAAAATAAAATATACGTGTTTAAGCGTTTTTTCGGAAACTTGACCGTTTTATAAATAAAAAACATTGTAATATTTGGGGGGTCGTTTCACCCTCTTGGAACTGGAATTTCAAAAATCCCTTCTTACCGAACCTCTACACCCTAGAACCACTTCTTACGTTGAGTGGTTTGAGCAGGATTGTGATTAATCAGTATGTCAGTCACTTAAGGATTTTATATATTAGTATAGATTATATAGGAAATGTCATCTATCGACATTTCCAAGCCAACTGGACGCCATTTTTTTTCGATCATACGGTATTTCTTCTTACCTCTCCCCATCATAAATTCAGGAAATACGTTAAAACCATATATTATCGTTTCCTGGTATAGCGTGGAAAATGATGACGTGACATTCAAGACTGGAAAATTCATTGAACTAGATAAGCACTGTGTTTCCTTAGTTCAATGGAAAAATCAGACTTTAAGCTCAGGCTCATGGATCAACGAAACCTCTAAATGCAAGTATGAGAGATAGATGGTCGCTATATAGTCGCGTCATTGATGACGCTACTGGCTATTTCTTCAGCTGCACCCAACTTTAAGTCACATTCCAAATAGGAAACAGAATTTTAAATAAACCACAGATTCTCCTTCTTCTATACTTGTAATTAAAATAAATTACACTGTACATGTCATTATTAAAAATTACTTAACAAGAAATAAATATAAATAACAAAACTAAATATTTGATACTTTATATACAATAAAAATAAAAATATAATTTTCTATGAGCAAATATAAGTCGGCTTAATTCACGTTGTATTTTCAACTTTAAACAGGAATCGTTCAATTTAACTTTATTGACATTTAATTAATTATTTGAGAAAATAACAATGAATTAATTAATAGTTAATATGAAAAAATGATAAATTTACAAACTTGATTTTGCTCAGGCGAAAGAGCAATAACAATAACAAATAAATTTGATAAGATGCTTTCTGAATCAAACACATTGATCGGGTTTCCATTCTCAGAAAAATGAAAGGTGATGGCTTCTATGTCCTGGTCCCCCTAAAAATAAATAAACGATAAATTAAATATTAGGAGACAAATAACCCTTTTAGTTAAAAATATTGTACCTTAACTTAAAGGGATGATACTTTAACATAAAGGGACTATAATATACAGTATATCCCCGGATTGTCTTCACAAGAGGAAAAACTTTTTTATTTTTGAGATTTTTAGAAAAATGCATTCTTCATAAAAATGTTTGCTCCCCCACCCAACCCAAACCAAAATGGTTAATCCTGTTTATACTCTTCCAAATTTCCATATCCTTTCTTTTAAAGAAAATTAGAAAAAACATGAAAATATAGTTGAAAGTTCTAAAAATGAAAATGGCGTTTCTATGGTAATATAATTTCGTTTTCATTCTTTAATAGGTTATTGTTACAGTTGAGAGTTGGAACCTTTGGTGTTACACAGCAAAATAAAATACTTAATCACCACAACGTGTAATTATAAACTTCAGTTGCTCAGATGCTAACATGGTTAGCGAAACGCGCGTCCAGTGTAAAAGTAAAAGTGTTTTGGTGTATTATGGTAATTTAGTGTTTTATTTAGATTATTGTTGATAAAATTTTAATTAATGTCACATTTTTTGCTGTTTTAAAATGCAAAATAAAAACACTAAATTACCACAATACACCAAAACACTTTAAAAAAAGTGTTTTGGTGTATTGTGGTGATTTAGTGTTTTTATTTTGCTGTGTAACACCAAAGGTTCCAACCCTCAACTGTAATGTTTTAAAATGTTAAAGAAGTACAAAATTTATTTAGTTCAATGCTACGGAAAGGGTGATAGTAGGTAGTTATCGGAAAATGTGATACTTTAACAACAGCACAAAATAATATGACGTTAATCAAAATTAATATTTTTATTTTAATATTTTCATTTTTTTCTAATTTTCTCTAAAACGGTATGAATTCATTCACACATGAACGGTATGAATTCATTCACACAGAATTCACACATTTTTATGAAGAATGCATTTTTCTCAAAATACCAATAATAAAAAAAAGTTTTCCTCTTGTAAAGACAATCCGGGGACATAATGTATATTATAGCAGGTGCGTCTCAAAGGTGGCTCACCCCTATAACTTTTTTTATTTTTTGATATATAAAACGAAATATTGGTATGTTAGTATATGACATAAATTAGGATTTATTGACGTATTCAGTTGTTTTCGATCACTTCCTGTTTCACTAGAAATGCCTACAACTTTTGATTTTTAATTTCCAGTATTTTTTTTAATCCCAGAATTTTTTACTGTATTTGATAGAAAATGACATTCTGAATAGAATGACATATCATATATCATACGTCAACTTTTGACATTCTCGCTTTAAAAAAATCGTATTTTAAATTTCAATCTAGAGTGCCATGGCTGTGTTTTTAACGCAAAATTCTGACAAAACTTTTAATCAATTAAGAAGCCTTGGAAAAATAGATTTGATCGTTTAATGTTTTTCGTGCCTTGTCCTGGCCGGTTAAAAGATGCCCAAATCGTATTTTTAATCATATCTCAATTTTTTCAAATGGAACGAGGATGGCTCATTGCCTTATTTGAAAAAAAACATTTTTTACAAGTAATTTGGTACCACACACTTAGTATTTCGAGTCAAATTTTTGTTACATTTATGGCTATGGCGCTCTAGATTAAAATTTGAAATGCTTTTATTTTTTAATTGAAAATGCCAAAAGTTGACATACGAAGTAAAAATATCAAATGAAGTAAAAAAATATACCAAGGTTGATATTTAAAAATCAAAAGTTGGAGGTAAGTAAGTAAGTAAGACCGAAAATAATTGAATACGTCAATCAATCCTAATTTATGTATATAAACATCCTAATTTATGCATATACTAACATACTAAATCTCGTTATTTGATCTAAAAAAATAAAAACATAATAGAGGCGAGCCAATATACGCACCCAGTATAATCATTGTTAAAAGATTAAATTAATTTTTGTTTTTTAAATTATTAGATTCAAAAATTAGAATAAATATATTATGTACATATATGATATATATATATGAATTATTTTAGTAAAATTACGATATAATAATAATATAAAAAAATAAGCGTAATTTTTTTCCAAAATACGTAACGTATTTTTGTCTACAGGGTGCTACAAATTCGAGGTACGAGCATTGGTGTCTCGGTAACCGTAATAGATACGAACATGGTTAAACTGGGGCAAAGTTGCGTTTTGGGATGTTCACCAAGATGCAATTAAAAATGTTTTAAAAATTTCAAGGATTGCTGAGTTTTTTGGAAAAAAACGGATTTTTTGAAAACTAATTTTATTTTTTCCTGTCGTTACTTTTAAGAAAATCAATAAACTAATTGCATATTCTCATAGCCACTTTAGAAGGGCTATCTGATAGTATTTTTAGATTTTCAAATTAGCTGATAATTTGTGAGATACTGAGGCCAACTTAATTTTTTTAAATACGGACCTGCCTTTTTTATTTCAGATTTTGAAAGAACTCAGTCTCCTGAGTACAATGATATGCCACACTTAATATTTTTTTTTTGTTTCGGACATTTGAACACAATTTATTCAAACTCAAGTCCGGCTCTGTTTTTCTTTTGAAATATTTAATCTATTCATCGTTACAATATTGATAAGCTTTCAAACTTAACAATGACGTGGGGTAAACATTAAAATAATAAAAAATAATATACAAATGAATACATTACTTCACGTCATTTGTAAAAGTGAAATCAATACATCTCATCATCTCAACATTTACAAAATGCTTACGGAAGTGTAAGAAGAAAGTTCAAAGAGCTATAAATAAAATTGAATGAAAAATAAATTTGTGCAATAGGGAAGGTGGTAACCCTTTCGAACATTTAGAGCATTAGAAAATAGTTTGTAGAAGTTGATTTATTTATAATAACTACGATGAATATTACGCATATAATTAGATCGCACACTAAGATTTCAAATTCACAATAAAAAAAGTTAAAAATAATATCTTTAAATTGCTGACCTGGATATAATTTATTTGAATCTTCCAACTGGCTCGATTTTCCTTGTTCAATGTTAATTAGCTCTGATCAATATTGTTGCAATGAATCTAATCAGATTAAATAATTAAAAAAAAAACAGAATCGGACTTGAAATTATTTTAAATAATAATTAAATAGTTTTTTTGTTGTTAAGGCACACAAAACAAAAAAAGTATAAAGTGTGGCATACCATTGTACTAAAGAGACTGAGTTCTTTCACAATCTGAAATAAAAAGTGCAAGTCCGTATTCAAAAAAAAATAAGTTGGCCTCTGTATCTCACAAATTATCAGCTAATTTGAAAATCTAAAAATACTGTCAGATAGATAGCCCTTAGAAAGTGGCTATGAGAATGTGTAATTAGTTTTTTGCTTTTCTGAAAAGTAACGACAGGAAAAAATAAAATTAAATTTTAAAAAAAATCGTTTTTTCCAAAAAACTCAGCAATCCCTGAAATCTTTAAAACTTTTTTGGCATCTTGGTGAACATCTCAAAGCGCAACTTTACCCCAATTTAACCATGTTCGTATCTATTACGGTTACCGTGATACCAATGCTCGTACCTCGAATTTGTAGCCCCTGTATAAATATACTTTTATTGACAATCCCTTATAATATGTTTTATTGATAATCAAAAAATGAAATAAAGCAGTTAGTAATTTGTAGGCATTAATTTCATTGGGGATATACCGTCTAATCAATAAATTGTCTAAATTGGTCATTGACGAGATTTGCGACATTACCTGTATCCATAGAGTTAAAAATTAAAACTTGTATCACTGAGCATTAACAGATAATATCCCTCTGAGAAAAATAGAAATGCCAGTGTACAGGGTGGGTCAAATTCGACGCTTTTAAATGGAAACACCCTTTTCTATAGGAGATAGACGAAAACTAATATCGATGTCTGGAGCTCAATTTTCATCAAAAACATGATGGCGAAAACCGCACATCAATATCTGTTACTGTTTCGGAGTTACGGGGTGTTTTTCAAAAACGTGCATTTGTAACAAATCGCTGTAACTTTTTTGCTATGGAAAATTTTGTATTTCTATGAAAACATTTTCAAAGCACCTTTTTACGTAGAATTTAACGGTTTAAGTATAATTATTTTAAAATTAATAATTTAAGAGTTATCAACAGAAAAAATGATTTTTTATTTGGGACACCCTCTATATTTTTAATTAACTGAAAAGAATTTAAAATTACCTTTCCAAAAATATAGCACACTTGATATTTTGTTATAATCTCCTTCGAAATACAGAATTTTTAAAAGTTCGCTACTTTTAACTAGTAGGCTTTGGACTCCTTATTGATGATATGCCCTTAATGGAACTCGAAAACATATTTTTACAGCAAGACGACGCACCGTCTCTGAACGCTGAAGTTATCAGCAAATTTTCAAGAATAATTGAATAGACCAAGATTCAAGCTGTTGGCCGTCGAGGCCGCCTGACTTAGTGCTCATGGATCTAATCCTATGGATATATTTGCGGAAGAATAAAGTTCCTTATTCTTCCGTATAATCTAGACAAGAATTAGAAACACTTAGCAGTTATGAGAGGGTATCTTTCACCCCCACTGAGTTAATGAATTCCGCGAGAAATGTTCAAAAACTGCTCCGTCTATCCATAACAGAAGACGCTCGATATGTCGAACATCTGTAGCAAAATCTCATGTCTTAGTTTGCTATTTATTTTTATTGTTATTAGATATACATAGTTTAAATGTGTTGATGTTGGTTAAATATATTTTAAATTGTTATAAAATTCTGCATCTCTCATAGCAAATATTATTCTCGTTTCAATTGATGCTCACAGCTAGAATTTTTTTGCATTACAGCCGGTACCGTTCAAAGCCTACTTATTTAAAGCGGGCGAATTTTTATATACTCTATATCTCAAAGAAGAATCGAGCAAAATATCAAGTGTGTTATATTTTTGGAAAGGTAATTTTAAATTATTTTCAATAAATTAAAAATATACAGGG